CTGGCTGTGTGGCTCTTGCTGATTAACTCATCCGCTGATTGCAGGGATGGGTTTGGATATTTTTAACGAAGCTCATGTCACGGGCTAGCCTGTAAAGCGATTTCTTTTTATATTCTTCCACAGAGCCCGTGCTGCTGGGGTGGGGAGGGGCTGCTGCAGCTCTACTTTGCCTTCAGCGCCCTGGGGAAGGTCCCTAGCGCATCCCTCACTGCTGCAGCCAGGGTTTGGGGTTATTTTCCCCCTTCTCCAGGTCAAGGCTGGCCCCTTGCTCCCCTCCAGCACCCTCCTCTGCGCTTCTGCAGCGCCAGCAACTCGGGTCCCTGCCTTGCTCCACTTTGGCTGCTCTCAGCGCAGCTCCTCAGCCCTTTCCCTGCTGCTTTTTTGTCTTCCAGCTGAAGGGAGAAGGCATTCGGTTCCCCCCCGCCACACACACACGCTGCCTCATCTCCCTTGCACTCCACCTTCCCAGTGCCACACATGGGCTTGGCTGGGCTGGGCCACAGCCACCCGATTTTTTATAAAAAGAGCGGTGCGATCGCTGCCGCCCGCTCGCCACCAGGTTTGACAGCAGCAGAGTCGCCACGGAGGCGGCCGGGGGTTTTTAAGGCAAAGTTTTTGCAGGATTTGGATCACAGCTCCCTTCTCATTCCAGCCCCACAGCTCCCCCCGCCCCAGCCAAGGTGGACACTCGCTCCATAACCTGGGAACTTAATTTTCCAGCATCGATGAAAATTACCTAAAATATGATTTTATTTTTTTTTCTAATGCTTAAAGCGGTGCCTTACTTAAAGCTCTGTCCTCATCCCTCCTGCCACCCACCCCCAGGGGGACTGCCAGCCCTCCCACTGCTGCAAGCCGAGCCACAGCAGGAGCCATTTGGTGAATGCTAATTAAGAAACCAGATCATTTCTGCTCCTCTCTGGCAACGAGCTCAACAGCACGGGGCTGAGGAGAGCCCAGGTTATCGACACCGAGCAGAAGGCCCATCCTGCTGCCCCCCTCGCTGCCTGCAATGACCCCAAGGAACCAGTGATCTGCATTGATTTATTTCTTCACAACATATCTTTAATACAGTGATTTTTAGGAAATTGTACTCTTTTGACACTTTTGACATTTGTACAGTACAGTGTAACTCTTCCATAAGTAAACTTCACAAAAAAAATAGGAAAGGGGAGGGGGGGGAAGTGGTATCACGGTCAGGGAGGGGGGAAATTCTGTAAAATAAAGACACAGCGCTCCAAGAAAAATAAATAGAGGGCAGGAAGAGCCCCGGGTCTGTCATCGCTCGCCTCGCTCATGGGGTTGGTTTGGATTTGGGTTTTTTTTGGTTTTTTTTTTTTTTTAATCCTTTAAATAAGCAATTTTTTTAAAAGTGATATTCACAAGCAAGGTTAGCACACTGGGGGGGGGGGGGGAGGGAATAAAATAAATGCACCAACACGGCCACAGCACAGCAGGTCACGCGCACAGCGTCACTTCCTACACCTATTTACAAGGAATTCTTATGTACAAGGAGGAAGACAGCGGGAGCATAAATTAGCATCTATTTATACAAATAAACAAGAGTTAGGAAATATCCATCCATCTGCGGGGGGGGGACAGGGGAAGCCAGATGCAAAGAGCTCCCAGGAGCTCTCTGGGCAGGCAGGAGCTCCACCAGGCCGGGGAGGGGGGGACACAGGGAGTCCCAGCGGGGTGTGAG